AGGGAGGACCTAGTTTGGTCTCTCTCCAGCACAACTATGGCCAGTGCTGCCTCTTCTCCCAAGATGGCATGGTACCACCAGTAAGGGCTGTGGGAGAATATACAGTGGAACGAGGCTTTTCCCTTGGCTTATTTCTACCAGAACTGCAAGAGGTGGTTCAGTGATGTAGGAGAGATGGGTGTGAAAGAGAGCCATGGAGTGCAAACTGTCTTGCAGTCCCGCCTCTCCCTCTTTTCCACCCTGAAAACTTGCAGTGCTGTCTCTCCTTAAAGTCTAGAGTCAGAGAGGGGACTCTGGCCCTGCCTGCTGTTGACTGTAGTGTTGCCACCCCTCATCAGCGGGCTGCAGCTGGGGACAGCTTCTAAGATTCAAAGGCTAATATGACTTGGGGATGAGAGGGAGAAACAGAAGATGGGACACCAGCCCTGAAGGACCGGTATTGCTGGAGGAGAGCAGTATGTACCATCCCTCGGGATATATTCAGCCTTTTCTAAAGGGTTGTGATTGCCTCGAGGGAAGCCTTGGAGACCTGCTTTGGGGCAGGCATCCACAGAATTCTCTCTTACGAAAACTGGCATGTGTGTGGGGGAAATGAGGTTCCGCACTGACAAGCGGCTGGTGGATGTGCTACTCTGACTGTAACTATGTTTACTTAACATACGCCTCTCCACAGTCCTGCATCCCAACACAGTGTTGAGGTGGAATGGACGTGCCACGCACTGACTCTTCAGAGCTGATTCAAGGGTCCTAAACTTGTATTTAAAATAGCCCCTCCATGTTTTTTTCTAAGATGGAAAGACCCTGATCCAAAAACCTGGTTGTAGTGTTCTCTGTTGAACGCTTCAAGGCATCTAGCGATTTCTCAGAGGCAGTGGTTCACACATGAACCTTGCTTGTGTAATGAGTGAATTGAAAGTGTGAAAAGGAATAAAGTATTAAAATTAATTGCTATTTCAATTTAAAAAAAATCATACTCCATAAAATTAATTCCAAGACTTTCAACAGCCGTAAAGCAGCCTTGGCAAATGATCTATTTTAACTCTCTAGTTTCTTCTCATTCTCCAACAAAAGATTTTTTTCATCCAATATAAGGTAATTTTTCCCATCCACCAGAAAATGTCTTAATCTGAATCTAAAACTACCAGGATTCCAAAGTCTCAATGATTAAAAACTTCACTTTTTTGGAGATTCCATTAATGAATTTGGCTTCTCAGGAGGGCCTTTATGACTGTCCAAACCCCTTGCATTGATTCAAAGTAATTACCCAAAACTTGAGGTTTCTGGAATGACTAGTCAACTGAAATACTAATTACATATATATAATTGGTCCTGTATTGTAGTAGAGAGTCATTTTGTGGTGTGAGAGAAATCCTCTTTCCTGTTCTCAGGTGTGCATTTGACCACCCAAGCAGAACTTTATCAGCTAGGGGCTGGAAGCCCTCAGGGGATTTCACTGCCTGGGTGGTGATTCATTGATTCGGGGAAGAGTTCATGAAATGATGTCTTCAAGCCTCCTTGTCTTAATTTTTTGCCATGTAAGCACTTTGGAGCGTGGTGGGTTTTTTTTCTCCTTCTTTCTTTTTTGTCTTTGTGGCAGTTCTTATCTCTGCTCATGTACAGGAGCAGAAAAACTTGCCGTCTGCAACTGTGATGGGTGATTTTTATTTTGTAATGTCTCTGTTTCTGTGGACTTGCCCTGCAGAACGTATCACTTCACACAGAGTCGAGATGATCCCCTGAGGGACAGGGAAGAAACCCCATGCGTGGCAGGTCTCTTCCCCCTGCGCACCCGCTAACCCCTTTGGGTGCAGCAGGTACCCTGGCAGGGTGGGGGCTGTGCAGCTGCTTTCTGTTTGCATTGAGGTGCTTGGCCAGGTGTTACCCAGGGAGGACTTTCCTGCCACAGCCAGCGCATAAGCTTCTGCCTCTTTTTGAAAAGCGTAAGTGCTTTCAAAACACAATATTTGGGTCTGCAGAGCTAAAGCCAGGCACCCTTCCTGCACATTTCCAGGAACTGGTGCGAGGAATGTGCACAGGCAGTCAGGCTCAAGCTCCTCTTACAACTTCTAGTCAGCGTAGTGAGCTGGTGTGGATAATGCCCTTGCAGAGCCTTGTGCCAAGCGGCTGTGCCTTGCCTTTCGGGGCCTAGCTGTATGGGCATGCCCAGAATAGATCTGGATCTTTTTGTTTGCCTTGTGTTTTCTGCTTTGGGAATGAAGCAGTGTGCCTCTTCTCCTTCTTGGACTGGAGTGGTCTGTGCCTCCTCTTTTAAATCAGGAAGAGGGAAAAGACAATAGTGTGTTTCTTTTTGGTTGCCTCTTCTATGAGTGTTGGGACCAAACCAAATGAGTTTCCTGGCAGTGTGAAATCATGTGACAAAAACTGTAGGGAATTTGGATTTTAAAGCCACGCTATGAGCTTTATTTGGAAAGATGTGGCAGAGCCCCTTGAGGAAGTGTCTTGACTTCTGTTCCATCCTCTTGCTGTAAGAAAGATTAGGTTGGTCCCTCTGCAGGCTGATGTTTTACTTAATCTGTTCATTGCCATCTGACTGTGCTCAACCCAGCCTCCGGAATTCTCATCAGTGAAAAACCAGTAGATCATCCTTAGCACATTTTGGCTAGGTTTGTGTGGAAGAAGTTTCACTGTAAAGTTTTGGCGAGCGAAAAATCTCTTTGGTGCTACTCAGCTAATTTCACCAGCACATCTGGCCACCTGGGTGCAACTTGCAGCTGTAGTGGCTTGTGTTGCGTCACACTTCTGCCAGAACTGTGGGAGAACATCTGCCCCTCTGCGCGTGTAGTGGGGTGTGAATGGAGGATGGTGCAACTTGCACCTTGAAAGATGGAGAGTTTGTTCAGCATGTACTTGCGTTACAAAGTCAGCAGGCTATTACCAGCCCAAATCAGCCAGCATGGGTTAATCTGACCAGCTGTAGAGAAATGCTGTGGTCCCACATGAAGCTTTTGGCATAGGCTAGAGCCTGAGAAGGTTGCTGTGATGGATGTGGCTTGCAGAGGCTCAGTACTACTTCAGGCTTCCTGTGGTCTAAGCTGTGATGGTTCAGGAAGTGGTGTTTGACTCAGCAGGACTTAGTATCAGAGAATATCCACTGTTTACTAGTTGTGACATGAACACCTTGGCTTTGGGCTGAATTACTTTGAATTGAAACTAAATGCTATGTAGAAAAACAAAGTATGTGCAAGTTGAGGCCTTGCCTAGCCTACAGAAACATTGCTGATGTGGAGAACTCCTGAGGAGTTTGCACAAAGCCAAGGTTCTGCCACAGACTTAATGCAAAATCCCCATTTTCCTCTTAATCTCAGGGATTTTGTCTCAAAAGTTCTCCAAGCTGATTTAAGATCTGTCTCTCCTCCAGCAGAGTGAAGCCCAGAAGGGTCCCCCTGACCTGTTCCAGAGCCCTGTCAGGTCCCAAAGAAGAGGACAGAGAGGACTGCATTCTCCCCAGCCAGCACACTTTTTAGGGCAGAGGTGAGTAGCAGCGGTAGGGATTTGAATGGAACAGAGAAAAAGGCAAAGCTATGAGCCTGGCGTGACAACTAAATGAAAAAAAGCACTCATGCCGAAGATGCTGCCTGTAGACTATTGTGTGTTTTAGACATATCTGAGGTTGTGTTTTGGTCTTGGGGACTTTTAAGAGCCTTTGAAAAGTTGGGAAATTCATGATCTTTTGAAATTATTACTGTGGTTTCCTTCAGAGTTTGAATTCACTTCCCCTTTCACTTCCTCCCTCTTTTCCACCAGCACACTTAGTTATTTAAAACAGGGGGTTGTTACTTTGAAATAAGATCATTCATCACTAGCCCAGGTCTTTGATGGTTAGCAGGCGATCTTCTTGGGCTCCTTGGTGCTTTTCACCCCATTTTTGGTTAGAAGGTACCTGTGCAGCAGCCAAGTTACTGCCCTGGGTGAAGAAGGCCTGGTGGGAAGGTAGTGCCCACTTTCAGCCCAGCCCTGCTAATCAACAGTGGGAGCCAGCCTGCACTGGAGACTTCTGTGTGCAGTTGTGGGGCTGTTGCATCGAAGCCAGCAGATGCAAGGTTCACAAACAAGGCAGGGAGGATAGAAATCCTGGTGTTTGCTAGGTAGTCTTGTGTTACTGGCACTTGCACTGGGCTCTTACCAGCTCCCCTCTTTTCATGGGTGAGGCAGCCCACCTTCTGCACCATGCTCCCTGCCCTCCCTGCACCCTTCTGCCCTTGGGCGCTGCCCAGCTACAGGACAGGCTGTCAGCCCTGAGCTTGCACCTTGGGGGTGGAGGAGCTTGTGACCTGGGTCCCTTCTTCCTCGTAGACCTCCCTGGAGGCTTAGCAGAGTTGTGCTCATGTAGCGAAAAGCCTTTGATGTGTGGTCCAGCCTTCCCCATCCCTAGGTATTTGCTGGGAAAGTATTGAAATAAGCCTGAGTAGGTGCATGGGGGAGGTGCACGAGGCCCTGCAGATGTGCTGCCATGCCAGCTGGGTGTTTCACTTCAGAATATGCTGCCGTGCACACAGACCCCAGCAGCTCACCTGCTCTCAGTAGGAGCTCAGGAACTCTGCTGTGATAACACTGCCTTCCGTTCCAGCCTCTGGCACTATGAAGGGTTGTCCCTCCCTTCTCCAGCACCACCTCTTGGCTTGAAAGCCCCATTTGTAGGTTATGTCACTCCACTGTCTTACACTCTTCTGTTGCAGGAGGGAGTTTCATGGCCCTCACTCACGTGAATAGGGCCCTTCTTGCTAGGACAGTTGTGGTTTTCTCAGCCTTTTTTTATGACTGCCAGTGTGTGATGGGCAGCCCTCTCCAGAAATACGGATACGCATTGCTAGAAAGGTCATTTTCTACAAGGTATGGCCAGACCCCTGAGCACTGCTGCAAGGCGTGGGTTTATCGGGAATTTTTTTCCTTTCACCCTTTTTTTTCTCACTGTTTTGCAGGGCAAGGACTTCCGGTCTGAAGAAGAGGGTGACAAGAGCTGCTCTGTCTCTGAATCCGTCATGGAACAGGTTGGTTTCAAACGTGACTGAAGTCAGTGGTTCACAGTGACCAGTCGCTCTCTTGTGCACTTGTTCCGAGACACCTCAAAGGGGATAAGCCTCAAAAAGTGCTGGCTCGTGTCCTTCTTGTCTTCCTCAGAGTTCCTGTAGGGGCCTCAATACTGGTTCTCTCCATCATGAATACAGACAAAAAGTGGATGGAATCACTTAATTTGCAAGCTGCTCCCTCATTACCTCACAGTGTGACACTCCCCTTTAAACTGCAGGCTGGAGATGTAGCTATTTAAGAGACTACCATGTTTATTAAGCTACAAACTACTAAAACTAATAAATCAAGTCCATACACACACCACTGGGATCAATTTATTGCATTTTTTTGTGCAATATTAGTCACAATTATGAAGCTACTATTTATCATGCTTAAATCTTATTAATGACATTAAACTGCTATTGAAATGTTTATCATCCTCCAAACCCCACCTAGCGTTAGGGTGCAATTATAACCCTCTTTGCTCTGCCCTCCCACGAGCCTTTTGAATATAAACCTGATGACTGCTCCAGTGCGTTGTTCAAGGGGATCGCCGCTGGCATCCCAGTGAGCTTGGATCGCCAGCTGAGCTTCACTGCTGTCTGTAAACATCCATGCTCAGATCATGGAACATGTGCCTTCTCTTGGTCTTTGACTGATCATATACCTTATTTTCCATTTGTTTCCATTTCTGGACTCTCCTTGTTGTTGTCTTTGTTCCTCGCTTTCTCTGCTCGGTCTCCTCTCAAGTAAACAGCCTGTCCTTAATTACTTTTTACGCATTTATCCCAATTTTGCTACTGTTGCCTTGGCAATATGGATCCTGTGTGATATTACTCATATGGTTATGTAGGTACAGGTGGCCTTGCAAGGTTCCACTCCTCAGAAGGTACATGAAACTCCCTTTCAATTATCAGGTTCATTGTGGTTGCATATTGATTACTCTGTGCAGTTGGCAAGACAAACCATTCTACTTCAGCATTCATTCTTCTCCCTAGCTACAATTAAGCCTGAGCAGTTTCTTACGTTATAGGCACACAGTCTGCATACCAGAGTAAGGATTTTTTTCTCAGCTTATTTCTGTGCTGACACAGCATCCTGCTCTCTTAGCTGCTTAACTAAAATTATTGGGCCGTCTCCGGGTTTTCTAGAGAGGCCTTAGTTGGTTAGAGGCCCCGTGTTCCAGTGGGACCTCTTGCTCCCGCCCATCTGACTGCTTCATGGGCTTCCTCCACTTCACTAACTTGGGCGCTCAGCGCTGCCTTGCGTGAGGGCGGCAGGGTGGGCGGCTGTGGAGGCAGCGTGTGCCTGTTTACTGGGGGTGAATGTGCCAGTGTAGGTGATACCAGACACCAGTGATCTGCCATCTCACTGTCCTTGCAAGCAGCTGCTTGGCTCTCTACAGGGAGCTAAACAGGTTAATTGTGGAGCTAGTCAAGATCCCTTTGAAGAAGGGGAAGAAATGTGAACGTTGGGGGTTTTTTGCAGGCTTATGCTGTCTGTTATCTCTGTTTCCCACATTGTTACTGCTATGCTCTGATTACATTTAAATGGGGAGCTGCTGCACAGGACCTAGAATGCTCAATTCCCAAATACAGGGGTAAAAAGCTTCCAGAGACAGATGTCTGAACAGGGAAATGTGGGTCGTTTGTGCCGAGTATGCATCTGTTTCAAAAGAGGAGCTCTGAGCAGGGTTTCTGTCATTGCCACAGCTGGAAACGTGAAGGTGAGCTGACTCTTCCATCGCTGGTTTGTAAGAACAGAGCCATCTGTCATTCACCGTCAGACAGTTCTGTGTGGGTACACATCCAGGAGTTAGCATGCATTTGCTGAAGTCTTGTGGACTCCATGGCTAATGCTACTCAGGATGCCCAAAGGAGGCCAGAAAAATGTGTTCAGGGTTGGGAAACAGCATGTGCGTAGACCTTTTGAGTGGGACTTTTCCTAGACATGGGCTGAACGGTGATTTTCTTGTGTTTAAGATCAATGGGTCTGTTCAGATGGAGCGCGCGCTGCTGTACACCTTCCTGGAGGTCTCCTCTGACTGTAAGTTCAGAGAGCAACTGCATTCTCTGCAAAGCCTTGGGACTCTGTCTTTCCTGAAAGGCAGCTGCTACTATGATGATGAGGTGGAACTTCAGACCGACGGCAATCGAAGCGGCCACATGCAGAATGGTGAGCTAGGTGAGCGCTCTTTTCCCTGTCCTGTGTGCCTCTTGGAAGGCCGTGTTTTTCTTTCCCCTTTTCCCATCTTTGCTGCTGCTCTGTTTCAGAGGAGTAATGCTTTCTCCATTGAGGAACTTCAGCGTGGCTGTTGGTGGTGATGTCAGTTGGGATTTTAAGGCTTGGGATAGGATGGCTAGTGCTTAGCGCTTTGTCTCCCCATGGACTTCTAGAGCACTTGTCACCCTGGGGTTTTGTCTGCAGCACATCAGACAAGGGTCACAAAGTGGGTACTAATGATTGCTGTTCTCAAGGGGTGTGATTAAGCAGTTCAGTTAGGCCTCATACTGCTCCTTGGGGAGTATCAGTACTTGAGCTACGATTTTGGAACAACTCTTGTTCTGGTACTGAGTGAATCCTTTTCTGCTCTACCAGTGTGGTGGAAACTGTCCCTCAAAGAGTTTCTGGTGCCGTTCCTGCTTCACTAGCCATCTGCAGAATGGCTGCTGCCCCTTGCCCGGCATGTGTCAGCTGGCGCATCGACCTCAACCTAAGCAGGGTGAGGAGGAACTGCCACACTCAGTAGCCCTCCCTCATACAAATTTGCATAGGTGTCATGTCCCAAGTGACAGTGGGAAGCTTTGCCAAAAGGAGATAGGACAAGGGGTAAAGGTTTTAAACTAAAGGAGGGCAGATTCAGACTGGATATAAGGAAGAAATTTTTTTACAATGAGGGTGGTGAAACACTGGCACAGGTTGCCCAGAGTGGTGGGGGATGGCCCCTCCCCGGAAACATCATTCAAGGTCAGGTTGGACAGGGGGCTGAGCGGCGCGATCTAGTGATGGATGTCCTTGCTTATTGCAGGGGGGTTGGACTAGATGGGCTTTAAAGGTCCCTTCCAACCCAAACCATTCTATGATTCTATGAGATGCTATATTTTAGATGGTACTTAAGAGACCAGCCCTGACAGTGGTCACTTGGTAAAATCATGCACACTCTCCCACTTGCCATCTCTAGGCAGGGTGTTGGCCGTAGCTGTCCTGTACAAATTTGGGTTGGAGATGTTCTGACCTCCCCTGTAGTGTTTTTTGGACAGGGTGAGGCTGTACTTTACCTAAACCACAGACAAAAAACCCCTGTTTGCATACTGTCTCTGGTAAATGAGTCCAGTGCACACAAGGGAGTTGTAGTGTGTATCGCTGTCGTGAAGGCACAGTGCTCGGGGGTGGGTGGAAAGGAGGTCATTAATGGAGGGGGGCAAAATGCTGTGGGCAGCTTACCTAGTCTGACTACAGCCTGTGAACTAAATCCTGCTCTGTGTGTTGGCAGTGTTTGACCCTGAGGTGAATGAAGAAGTTATCCGCATCATTGCTGCTCAGCTTGCTGAGATTGGAGACCAGTTTGATAAAGAAATCAAAGCAAGAGTAGTAAATGATCTAGTGCAGCACTTTCTGAATGAGAATCTGTCTGGAGAGGTGAGTGAAAAGCAGCCTGACTGGCAGTTCCTTTTTTAAATGTTGTGCGTCCTTCCTGCTGTGACCTTGAAGCAGCAAGCTTGCAACATCTGTATCTTTGCCAGTTTGCTGCTTTAATTACTGTAATCTTAAAATTCATCCCAAACACTTACCTTTGAGGATTTGATAGAGGTGGTGCTGTATCCTGTTGCAGCTGTTGCCCTGCAAATTGGGTTCCTTGGGCTTATCTCCTTTCTGGATGGTGAAATTGAGGTAGTTGTGGAGAAGGACTGACTTTCAGACATGTCTGGATGCAGAGCTGCAGTCTGCTTCCACAGCGCCTTCTTGGGGTCTTCAGGATAACTGTGGCTTTGTGGCTTGTTTGGCTTCTTTGCCTGTGAGGAAGTTTCCTAAGCTCTACAAGTTAATGCTGTCTTTTGAGTGTCCACCTTCTTGCTGAAAAGGTGAAAAGGTGGGATTTAATTTCAGATAATCTTTTTCGGATTTTTTGTGGTGTGGGTTTTTTCTGCTAGGGTTTGTCGCCTGCACAGACCTATTCCAGCAAAGTCTGACCATTCCCCTCTCCTGCTGTCTTGTTCTTCACCCAGTTAAGTTTTTCAGGGCTTCAAATATCACCGAATCAGAGAATGGTAGGAACCTCTGGAGATCATCTAGTCCAACCCCCCTGCCGAAGCAGGGTCACCTACAGCAGGCTGCACAGGACCTTGTCCAGGCGGGTCTTGAATATCTCCAGAGAAGGAGACTCCACAGCCTCCCTGGGCAGCCTGTTCCAGGGCTCCGTCACCCTCAGAGGGAAGAAGTTCTTCCTCATGTTCAGA